AAAGACTGCAGACCAAAAGATGGGAATATTTGCTTTACTACCACTTTCACAATCAGGAGTTAAGATTGTGAAAGCTTCTGTCAAGCTTCTGTGCAATCTGTAAAAGGTCAGTTTTCTTTAATCTGATTGCTTTGCAGAACTCCTGCATGAATTCCATGTCAAACTCCTTGAGCTTGTCTTCTGATGGCAAGGAGAAAGATGAGATTGTGACATTCATCCAGTCCATTTTCAGGGCTCACTTGGCACGTAAACTACTGTGTGAGGAGAGGTAAGTGAGGAATGGACATTGCTGCAACATTACAGGAGAGAGGTCGGGTTTTTTTAAATAGAATTTTAGTGTGGGTTCCTTGGCAGAGGAGGAGAACAAGGCCATTGTTCCAATAAAGACAAGGGAGACCTTCCTCGTGAGAAAATGCAGAGAGTATGCAACTAAAAGGGTTTCTTGTTGCAGCAGTAGTCTTACTGTATCCTGTTGCATGTTCTCCACAGCAATGAGGAAAAGTAAAATAGTTACTCTTTTGGAAAAAAACAATAAAATAAAATAAAATAAATTACAGTTGTTACCAAACTGATTGCTAGTACACTCACTTACTGTAAGTGAATCTGAAGCCCTGATGTAAAAGTGAAGGGTTATGTGGAGCAAGAACAGGGAAGAGCTAGAATACCACCTTCTATACAGTCTAGTGACTTAGCTCAGGAAGAATGTAGTGATTTGCTTACTGCTTAGATTTCTGGTGACTCTGTCTTGAAAAATGCTTCCTTTCTCTCTAGGGTTTACTGCTCTGAAAGTTTTTAATATTGGCTGCCATGGTTACAAGGAGAGTTACCTAGCTGTCACCTCACTTTTGTGTCTGAGTTCACTTCTGCAGGTGATGAGCTTTTGTCTTGGAGGCTAGCAACACGAGAAGCTTTTCAGCATACCTTCTGAAAACAGACAGCAATTACTGTTCTGTGCCCCATGCTATGCAGCATGTCTTTTTGCAGGCCCTCTACGTCCAGTGCACCAAGTGAGAAAGCAGATTCTTCAGTTTACGTTACAGAGAAGAAACCGGTCTCAGCAGTGCTCCAGAGACCTCCTTCAATCTTTATGTCATCTCTTCCTGGTAATCTAATTTCCCTCTGTGATCAAAAGTATGTGTTTTGAGTGGGCACACACACAATTTTATAACGAACATCTTTACATGCACACACATGTGCAAATGCATACTTGGATTCTGTATGTGTGTCGTCTTTTAATTTGATGACATGTCGCTTATACTGGCAAACACAGTCCCTTACATAAAAAAGAAAAGCTTTGACAGTCTTGGTATCAGCTTCCTCACAGTGCTTTGCCTTTTTGTCACAACTGTGTTTTGGAAGGTCTCTCTCTGGTGTGAGTGGTAATTCTGCAAGGAACATGGTGTTCCCCTGTATTGCCTCTCTACTTCCTTTTGAGTCCTCCCAGCATTGTAGCTGTAGTGTGGTACTTTCCACAACGTTTTGCGCCTTAAGCCATAGACAAGCTGAGAACATTTTCACCATCCTGACTTATGTCTGTCCCCTTTAGAAACTCTGGTGAAAAGAACTGTCCTAGTCAGATGTGTATTTAGTCACCTTTTTTTTCAGCAGTCATCAGTTGCTGCAGTAAGGGGAAAAATGAAGTCCTGGATAACCTTGCCAACTAGTACTGCTATAATACAAACTGGGAAAATGTTGGGGTTTTATGGCTCTTATGCCATTTGGTTTCCTGCTTGAGTTCTTCATTACTGTTTGTGAGAAGATGGGAGTTAAAGCCAAAGAGGCTTTTAGGAGGATGTTAGATGTACTGAGTAGGAAAGGCAAAACAATGATGCAGATAAGACAGTCTTAGACATGCAGCTTCAAAGGAGTTAAAAACAAATTGAAAAAGGTTGGTTCTATCCAGAGTGGGATATTTTAGGCTTTTATGGACCAGTTAGAGAAAAAAGAGCAACTTTGAGGGTGACCTGAGAAACATTAGCTTGGTTTTTGTCAATGAAAAGCTGACAGTCCCTGCAGACTTGCTTAGAAACAGAGCATGCTGTAAACAGCTGAGGCTCTTTTGCCAAGATTTGAGATGAGGAGTAAGCTAGATTTGCAGGGTTTATAAATATAGAGGTTACCCTTCAGTGAAGGAAAATATGTTTAAGAAACTTTACTGTATTCCATATTCAGGAGCGTATTCTACTTTGTGAAGGAGTAGGTAGTACTTGCTTTTGAAGATGTTAAGAGTTTGGAGTGATTTTAGTTATGTGTAGTGACAGTATCCAGAAAAAAAATGCTGCAGCATCCTGTTTTGCCTGGGCTGTACTGCAGTAGTCATTATTGGTATGCTCAGTCTAAACCCAGAGTAAATCAGTTGTGATATTCTACCCAAAGAGAAAGAATAATTTTAAAAAATGCTTTGTGCTTCTGAAGAAGTGCTTCTAAGACCCAAAGAAGGATGTAAGATGAAACTAGTCTGGTAAATGCAATAGTATGAATACTAATAGAGCACAGTCACTGCCTAGCTATGAAGTTTCCAAAGCTAACTTTTATTGCAGATCATGATCACGAAGTGATGCGTGAAGAAGTTCTGGAAGAATTTATAGCAGAAGGGATAGAGTGGAGGCCATAAGCATTCAAACTTTTTTCCTTGCAGTCCTTTTCTGGTGAATATCAAGGAGAGATTGGGAGCAAAGCAGGCTATATTTGCTGCTGATCTTACAAATATGGGAGACATTTTCAAAATCTGGGATGAGGATAGAATGTATCTAGGCAGCTTGTGAAGAAGCATACTGGATGTGTGCTTCTGCAACTGCATGGCTGCCTGAAAGACTGTCTTGCACTAAGTAGCTCTGTGAAGTGTTACCTTTTGGTGCCTTGGTGGGTTTAACTAGACTCTCTCAAAAGACAAATTGGGAAAAACCTACTAAAGGAAGGAGAGCATTCAGGTGTAAATGCCACCTCTATGAAGAAATGTCACCCCTCGGCAATCTCTTTGGTTATAGCAGGTTTTTTGCCATTTGAATTCATGTAGCTTAAGCATGTTAAAGTTAACTGAAAGTCCAACATCTGTCATTCCTAGCTCATGACTGATGTAAAAATGCACTAGCAACATCGGTTTTTGATGTAACGTATTTCACTGGTCATCCTGCAGCTTGGAAATGCATGAGACAAGGAGCTTGTTTAACAGCTGAGTGATTTAAAGCAATCAAATTCTTTTAGCTTTAAATCATGCAGCTGTTGAACAAGCTCTTGCTTCATTTGTCGCATGTCCAAACTTGCATTTTGTGACCTCTAGATCTTGCAATGATCGTAAAACTTCAGTGAAAGTATATATTGCAGTAAGTCGTTTAATTTTACTAGCCTTCCAGCATTATTTTGGGAGGAATGGGAAAGATGAAAATGTGTTTTAAAGAACCTTGTGTATCTGATAGGATAAATTTATATAATCCTGGTCTAGCATTGCAGACTTTTAATTGTTTGCATTAGGTTAGATGTCTCTGTTTTCAAAAAAAAAAAAAAGCAAAGCTGGTGTAACATTTGGTGCTGATTTACTTGTGTTCAGAATGTGGACAGTGCTTCCCATGAAATGGAACAGATAATAACAACTTAGTCTGTGAAACTTAGCGTTTTTTTGCTTTCTATCAGGAGTGGCAGGAAGGAAGAATATGTTCTGTACATGCACAGCAATCCTGAATAAGGGCAGCATTTCTCTCTGCATATCACTAGCCACTGTGGATACAACTGTTAACTTAATTTGAGGCTTTTTTTAAATCATAATGAGTTTATATACAACCCTTAAGTCTAATCAGTGCTTACCCCTTCAAAAGCACAAAGATAAAGTTATCACTCTGAAGTATATTAAACTGCAGATGAGGACAAAAAATCTCAGACATCAAGAGCAGGATATAATCGAATAATGATTTGGGCAATATTATTTCATATATAGTATCTGTTTATTGTTGGAGTTGCATCTTCTAGTTATCATGCCTGCTTCTGTAAGTTCTCTTTGCTCATCCTTATCACCAGTACTACTGGCTCATAAATCTTCCTGAAAAAACTCTTACGTTATTTGTTGACCGATGCAGAGAAGAATTTCACTTAACTTGAAAGTCAGGTGTTTCTTTTGCTTCTGTAGGTTGAGGTCAATGCAATGGGCTCCCTGCATTCCTCCTTTCCATTCACAGGCTCTCTGTCTGTCACTCTTTTTCTATTTCTGGGCTAGTGGCCTCTTTTTTATTCCTCATTCCAGTTGCTGTGTATGCCTCTTCTTCCATACCAGGAGGTTTTTTCCTGTGTCAGGAACCTCTTATTTCACTATGAGACCCATGGCATGTCTCCTCCCCAAGTAATATTCTCTGTGTGCCCTCAATTTTTCCTTCCATTTCAGTGTCAAAATCTCAGTGTATGGCTTCTTACTTGTCTGTTTCCTCTCCCTACCACAGATAGTCTTGATTTGTTTTCTTCTCTGGGAGATACTGTTTTGAGAATTGGTATTTTAAACTGAAAAATAAGTGGAGCTGAGGGGAGGATATTGTGCTGGGAAGTATTAATAGCTGTTGTCATTTAGTTCATAGATGTCTTGCAGAGAGGATACAGGCTGCTGGTTCTGCTCATCAGATGTTAGGGGCCTTGTATATATCCATTTTATCCCTCTGATTTTCCAGTATTTACTGGAATTATTAGGGTTCTGTCTGTTCATGCCCTGAACATTTCCTCAAATATTGGAATGAAGGAGATGCAAAGAACCACACACACAGAAAAACAGCAAAGCGGCAAAAGAAAAACAAAACAAACAAACAAACAAACAAAAAAAAACACGGTGTGGTCACCATTTTTATTGTCATTAATTAAGGTAGTACAGCATGTGAATAATATTTTTGGTATTTTACAGATAGAACGATGGAAGAGAATCACTGAGAGCTTCCATCCTTTTTGTCCTCACTGATTTCCATTTTCTCTATACCTGACTGAAGTTCTCATTATGATCTTTCTGCTTAGCTTAAGCTTGCTTGGGTCAATTTTTCCTTTTCTGGCTATCTAATAAGTACTTATTTTTATGACCTGAGGTGGCTTCAGTATCGAATTGCTTTACTTTGTGGTGTGTAACCACTTGCAAAGATTTAAAGACAGTAAGACAAATCACGCATGGTCAGTATGTCAACTTAACACTTGCCATGCATGCTCTTCCATTAAAGGGGAACAGTAATAGTTACATACAGGAAAAGATAGATCAGAGTTATTCATAACTGTAGGTAATTCTGGAAACTTAATGGCTCAGAGAATATTACACTTCCCAGAAGGGCTTGTTTTTGTCAGTGTTGTTTATTGATGACCTTGTTTCCTTTGTAATCATTTCAGCCAGGTCCTCTGAGAAGCAATCACAGTCTACTCCCTCTCTGTCTGTGGATGAAGCTCACTCAGATGATTCAGATGATATTGTCATTGTCTCTCCGTTGTTGCAGATGAAGAAAAACTACACCCACTTTTAAGTTTTGGTAACAGGCTCTGGTGATCTTGAATTATTTGATTCACAAACAAAACTATTTCTACCAAGATAAAGCATGTCAAAGATGAGAAAAGGGGGAATATCAGCTCCTTTTTAATGACAGTTGTCATTATTTCAGCTATAAATGAGTAATTGTTTGATATGTTGTCTCTGCAGACTAAAAAGAAGCTAAAAGCCACTGACTGTTAACCTTATCGTCCTGGTACGCAGAGAGAGTTTGGATTTAAAAACTAAAACAAAACACTGTTATGTTTCGTCTCGTGATGAGAATTCAATTGTCAAATTTAAATGAAAGCAATAAAGCCTTAAGCTATTTCATGTCAAACAAAAGTTTTGTTTCAGGTCGACTAAAATACTTCATCTAATCAGAAAGCGATTAATGACGTGGCTCCAATTTTCAGCCTGTGTACGTGAAGAAGTGCTTGTATCTGTTACCAGGTCCTCTGTATTTAAAAATTTTACTGTGTCACACTTTCATATCTTTTTTTGTTTGTTTTTATACCAAACATTTACAGTCTGTGCAGACCTTGTAAAGGCTTTTAGAAAGCCATTTATTTGTCATAGGGCTATTTTAGGCCTACTGTATCAGCAGGGTTTTCTTATTTATTGCTTTTTCGAAGTGTGCTTGCTATGATATGTATAGTACCATTTTCTATTTGAAATGTCCGATCATGTAATCAATTTTTTGTATTTGTCAGAGAAGGTGCATAATAGCAGGAATATTCTGTGAAGGATGCCCTTGTGACTGCTTTTCTGCTTCTGCATCACAACTATGAGTGGATTATGCAAGGTCATCTCTAATATGTGAAAACACTTGACGTAGGAGATATGTTGCTTTATGTCCCGTTTTAGCTTACGTCACTTGATTGTCTGGAACTTTCACCTAACTAGATTGCTCATATACTGAGCAGTAAGGGGTTTTAAGTCTGACGTTGCTTTGCTGTTATTGATCTCTCTTCTCATTACTATGTGCACACTTTTTTTTAATACATATATATATATATATATACACACACACACATACTGCGAGTGCACGGTAAGTCCAGTCACAGGCTGGGAGCGGGATCATAATACACAGCCATCTTCTGTCATCAGCTAAAGCTACCAGGCTGACTGCTGGAAAGCATGGGTACTCCCAGCTCTATTCTGAGCGATATGGACTGGCATGAGCATAATATGCAAAACCTAACTCGTGTAGTTTGGTTCAGGAACAGAAGTGGTAGGTTGGATAATAATAGAAATTAAGACCACATCTAGAAATAACACTATTTGACAATATTGTTGTCCATGGCAGGACCAAAGACATAATGGACTGTGGAAAATCTTTCCAGATCTTTTATGTAGGCTGTACCCCTTCTTGACTGGAAGGAGGACTTTGGAGTTCCTACTATCATGCCAATGTCCTTCACAGGCATTACAATGTGTGGGGGGTTTTCTAAGGTGAACTAGATATATGATACTTACTGGAAGGAGAATTTAATTTTACAAACACAGAGTGAAGTTTTTGTGGAGACCCTAATGTTTTCTTTGTCATCAAGGAGTAATAAAGAGTCCTGTAAACAGAAAGCACACTTTTAAATATAAGATTTTTATCGCCTTTTCCCTCCTTTTTTAAATTAAAAATCAGTCAACACTGTCTCTCAGAATACTAATAAGTCAGAGCTGTCTCTGTTCTTTGATTTCAATGAAGCACTATCTGAGGCTTATCATAGTTCACGCTGGTACTTGCAGCCAAAGAGGAAACTGGATGGCTGCAGCACAATGCAGCTGATTTCATTTAATCCCATCAGTGGAAATGCTGCCTGTGCTACTTCCAAAGGCAGTTTTGGGAGCTCTCCATACCCAAAGCAGTCTGAAGAATGTCATTTACACTCCCGTTGGGTAAATTTTTTCTGCTGGTACTTTGGTCACATAACTCTCATCTGCAAAAAGGATTAAAAAAATACATAAAATAAAAGAATAAAAGGGGTAGAATCTTCTTGGCAGAAGCTGAGACCCATCTCCCTCTTTTTCTGGAAGTCAGGTTATGAAAAAGAGTCCTTTTGCTAAACAGAAGTAGAGCTCTACTGAGTTGCTTATGTATAGTATTTCAAGTCTGTAGCTGAGACTCTGCCATGGACACCTCCAGGGAGAGTAACTAGAACTGAGGGCTCTGACACGTTAAGAGGAGGGTATGTAGTGTGTCAGGACCAAGACTGATATAAAATACCTACCTAGCTGTTATGCTATAGAGAAATACTTGGACAGCAAATACAGTGAAGATGATGTTCCTTACTGTCCTGTGATAACCAATATGAAAGTATTAGGAAGCAGATACAGAGCAGAAAGATTTGCATTGTAACTGCGCATAGGACTACAGGAGTGCTGTCAATAGAAGGGTTCTGGGATAAAGGGGAGATAGTAGCTTGTTATGACCCAAAGGCACAGACAGAAATCAGGGTGAAAAGGAGCGAACGTTTTCTGGGATGAATGAAAATGTGTCTAGAGCTTCCTAAATTTGAGTCTGCTATCTTGTAGCCATTAAAAATCTGATACTTAACTTGAGCTGGACTTCAAACTCACATCTTAGTTTGGAAGATAACTGTATGCTCAGTGCACGTGAAAAGTTTGGTGTGGCACAGTAGAAAGAGAAACCTCTGCAGTATTGGTAGCCTATTGGTAGCAAAACGTTGTTTTGCTATATACTGTAATGGAATATGTTGAAAGGAGTAGTAATTGACGCTAGGCTTCGTTCTGTGGTTTTCTCTCTGAATGCCAGCACCTGTAAATCTGGGAAGGAGTGCGGAACAATGAAGGAAGAAAAAGTTAATTTTTGAATAAATGGCGTTTTTCCTTAACAGGGAGCTGAGGACACTAAAAATTGGCGTGGCCCTGTACAAACATACTCAGTTTCTGAAAAATATGTCTTCTCTAGAAAGCACTGGTAACCTTGTGGGGGTGTCAAGGTCTTGAATTAAAATTAAACTCCACTGTAACCTATGTAATCTCACAGCACACTTTCCATCCTGCTGATACGGGATAATGTTGCCTACTTAAAACCTTTTGCAATTTACGGTAGTGTTTAGTTAGAGATCGGGTGTGACTGTAGAGATCTGACTTCCATGGCACGTTATCTCTCCCGATCTCTTTTTGCCCTTAAGTGCCTATGCCTATAGATCTTTACTGAGGCATCAAGACCTGAAAACTGTATTGTTTTCTGCACAGCTATAACAATAATCCCTGCACAGGCAACTTTTAATATAGTCAAAATGGAAAAGGATTAATCTTGGCATATGAGAATGCCATTAATTTTTATGATCTTTTTAATATTTAGAACTGTGCAAGTCTTTTATGTAATTTATTTTGGAATCTTTTAAAAGCTAAAACAATTGCAATGTATTTTCTCCTAATAGTTGAACTTTCAAATAAAGTTAAAGTTTGTAATTTAAGTGTTTGTGCGTTCCTGCTGCCGTTGCTGTATTTGCATTGCTCCCCTGGCCTCTGCTGCATGCTCCTGTCGTTCTCGCTTTGCACCTAGGTTGGCATTTTACCTCTGACTGTTTTCCTGAGCCGATGGTAACAAGAGAACTCTTAAACACGTAGGGTGTGAAATTTCTCCTGTAGTACACAGCCACGATTGTCCCAGCAGGAGTGAATGGTGTTCTTCACCAAGGCCTAGTGGAATGGAAAGAGGTGATGGGCTTTTGCTTTCGGTCTTGGTTTCTGGTGTTTTAGTCAAAAAGAAGTCCTGTCAAGTAGCTCTAGAGCTAAAAGCCACGACATTGCCTCAAGTATGTCTGGCTTTCTGCGGAGTACAGCAAGTTTCATTTATGCCTTTTCATCTATTGTTGTGCTGCTTCCTCGCTGGTTGCAACAGTCACGCTGACCAGTTACCAGACCAGTGGCATGCAGATAAAAGATTCAAAAGAATTCATTGTGGTGACTGTTCAGAATAACCTGCCAGAGAAGAAAAACATGCCAAACTCCATTATTGATACTTCTCGGAAGCCTTTTGTAGGAGGGATGCAGAATGGGTAGCCAGCATTCGAACTTGCTCGGGCCACAGAGCTCTCCCTGTGCTAGGCTGTGGTAGTGCTGTAGACCTGCAGAGGACTGGGTGAAACTGGTCTGCTGTCAGCTGCGGGGAGAATAAGGGCTCTACAGGGTTCCAGAGACCGTCCAATTTACTTACAGTCTGTCCCCTTACCTTGGTTATTGTTGGTGTTTATGAAGCTCTGGTGGGATGTATGCATTCCTTTCCAGGTCCACTGAAAAAGCCTCTAAGGACTCCCAGGAAAAACAAGCCTTACGCTGCTTTATGAAGATAGAAGACCCTGCTGACCGCTGTGACAACATGGGAACCCTGTAGTCATCTTCCTATCAATCGGAGTCCTTGTTGTAGGACTAAAACAGCTGTAAGAGTACAAGACTGAAACAATCTGTGTTTGATGAATATATTGCCTAAATTTCACTTTTTTGTTCTTTCCTCTCTGTTCCAATGACATGCTCTGGATTTCTTAGCAGAAACTTCAGTTTAAATCTTAAAGACTGGAGGTAAGCCATGTGACATGAATGGAAAAGTTTTGATGTGATTTCTTGGAGCAGACTAGTCTTGAATTGGGTTGAAAGCCAGCTATTAAGTGCTCACACTAGTTGTATTAGACCATACTTGGCCTTCATGCAAAGTCAGAATGCCCTTGACTCTTGCAAGATTTGCAGCGTTGGTTTGTGGTAGGTTTGTCAGCGAACTAATTGCTTTCCCCCCATGAACTTCTAAAGGGAAAAAAAAAGTTTAATTTATTCGATGGGCATCATTAAGACCCACAAAGAGCAAAATATCCCTGTTAGACTCTAGGTTATTCGGGGAGGATTGTCAGGCGTGGTTGGTGGTCTGGTGCTGCATCAGTGCCTCTGACGTTTCCTTCTGACTTTTGCTGATGTGGTTCTTTGCCTGGTAGAGGCAGCACTGACATCAGTTTCCGAATGTTTGCCCTATTTTCAGAT